CATGGTATGGTATGGTATGGTATGGTATGGTTGGAACACCATGAGCCATGGATTAATTGGAGGTCGAAAACTTTGGGCGCTACGCGCAAGTCTCCTGGATGAGCTTTGGTGAGTCAACAACCCACCTCTGCAGATGCGCTATTGGCGCGGGCGCAGGACCAGTACGGTCAATGTGCTGGATATCGGAGTATCCGAGCTGTCGAACACCAATGGTGTTGTTTTGGACAGGATTCCCGAGCGTGGTTTGCGGGCTGAACGTGGAGGGCACGTAACCCAATGAGTACTGCCACGTCATAAAGCAGTTGCTGCATGCCTAGAGTAGCATGGTCGGACGAGGTCCTAGTGATGCGCGTGGAGTGGTACGTAATGCACTGAGCACTATTTACGTTTCCAAGTAGTTGCTGCATGCCAAGAGTGGCACGACCGGACGAGGTCCAAGCATCTTGGACAAGGCCTTTCAAATGCGCGTGGAGTGGCACGTTGTCCACTGGACGAAGACTGCGAAAATAGCAGCTCTTTGTCGGATGTTGTTAATAACATGAAGACTCCGATGGAGCAGGGTGTGATGACACTGGACGACGCCGGGTGCATGTTTTCACTGGTCTCGCCGAGATGAACAACCTCTGTGGAGAGGCGACAGCGACGCCGTCTGCTAGCTGCAAGACGCTGGGCTTCGACCATGGCTCAGGATGTGTCTACCGTAGATGATAGCGCACAGCCATAAACCCTCCTCAGCGGTATGACGGAGATGAAAAACGACGACGTCACCCTCAAGGCTATTTCTGCGGTGAATGCTCTTCTTGAACAGGACAAGATGTCCTTTAAAGGGTTCGGTTAAAGGCTGGCAATTTAAACGAGGTGGTCATATTTGACCGTAGGAGGAGATTACTTTGCCGTCGCTTCTGGATGAGATGTCTTGGAGGACACTTAGAGGGAGCTGAACGCACGAAGTGGGTCCTCAATTCTGAAGGATCCCTCGGGTCCGTACTATCCTTTGGTATGTAGTTTCAAGACGTCTTTTCCAAACGCCCGCTGTCGGTCCAACCTCCGGCCCGAGGTGTATTGACCTGGTCCAGATTTGAGGGCGGTGCTCGAGTGCATGCGCACAAATAAGCTGCATGGCAATGCCTATAAGTACATCTTCGGCGCTAAGGAAGTCCCTTTTTAGGGTGCTTCATGGCAAGCGTGGCCTTCAAGCAGATCCTGCTAAAGTCAATGCCATTGTGGACTGGCCGGTTTCAAAGAACCAAAAGGACTTGCGGAATTGGCTTGGTCTCGCCGATTACTTGCACAAATATAGCTCAAATTAAGCGGAGATGGCACGGCCATTTTTGAATCTTCTTAAGAAGTGTACGGAATGGTGCTGGGACACCGAGCATCAAGAGGCTTTTAACAGGGTCAAAAACAGCCTTCTTCATGCACCAATACAGGCGTTGCCAGACCCCGATCGTCCTTTCAGTGTCGTCTGTGACGCTTCGGACTCCATCGGCTGTGCACTGCTGCAAGCAGACACCGAGGGGCGAGATCGGGTGATCGCGTTTGAATCTTGCCAGCTTAAGACTGCGGAGAAGAGCTACCCGGTCCATGACAAGGAGTTACTTGCGATGAAGTATGCACTTGTCAAGTTCAGAATGCACCTGCTTGGCTCAAAGCCGTTTGTGATCCACAAAGATCATGCGTCATTACGCAATGCGACTCAGTCGCCTCACCTCTCGCAGAGGATGGCCAGGTGGCTCTCCTTCTTTGTAAAATATAACTTGGATGTGAAGTATAAGCCAGAAAAGCAGAATGCTTTGGCTGATGCGTTGTCACTCAGACCGGTTTTTGAGCTTACTAATGTCACGACAGTGACGACGTCCGTGACGGATTTGAACCGCATCGCGTACGCAAGTGATGATATGTGAGTAGCGCTGTCACAGGCTCTCGAGAGCAAGGAGTTTGGAAACACGGACAAGAAGTTGTCGCGTCTTCGGGCACAGTTACACCGATGTTCGTTGAATAATGGATTGCTGTATCATAGCACCGATTCGACAAAATATTGTGGCTCCTCACGATGAGAATTTGAAATACCGTACCCTCTTTGAGGCCCACGACACCCCACTCAGTGGTCATCTTGGTCATGAGAAGACCTACACTATGTGAGAGCCACTACTGATGGTTTAAGCCGTACAAATGAACGAGTACTTGTGTTCGCACGTGTGAGACGTGTCAATGGGACAAACCCTCTCCGAATGCGCCGGACGGTTTACTGGCTCGCTTCGGGTGTTGGTAGTCAATGCGTATGTACTTTGTTTGGCAATCAGCATCAGGCAAGGCTGGTAACTCTTGTCATGATGCGGTTCATCCAAAGACACGGGTGTGACGGTCTTCGTCGACCTTTTGAGCAAGTTGGATCATCTTGCGGCGTTGCCGGACACCATCGATGGTATCGGTACAATGATGCTGTTTGTGGATCGTGTCTTTCGACAACAGAAACTCCCGGAGTCAATTGTCTCTGACTGAGACCCTCGCTTCACTGGGAAGTTTTGGTCGACGATCTTCAAGGTGCTAGGCACCTCCTTGACTACGTCAATACCGGACCATCCGTAGATCGATGGTCTCACTGAGAGCGTGAATGGCGTCGTTGAAGAATGCTTTCTGCAGCGTCTGCGCTGAGGCGCCGAAGCGCTGGAGCGCCTGCTGCCGCTCGTAGAGTTTGCTCTGAACAATGCGCTGCATTCATCTACTGGCTATACGCCGTTCTTCGTGAACAAATTTGTTAATCCTTGCGTATCGCTGACGCCGCCATCCCATGGTTCATAGCTTGGTGGGGAGGTAATGCTGAACGGCTAGCTGATGTCAGCTCCCTCACTGTCCGGAAAAAAAGTTGATGACTCCTTGTCTACTAGACTAAGTGTGCAGCGGGGCTGCCGTAGCTCTTTGCTTCGATGAAGCCAAGCTCAGTTCACTGACCTTACGTTCTTTCCAAGAACCAGTTCAAGTGTAGCGGGTTGCGATTCATTACTTATAAGTACTTAATCCTTACCAAGGCAAACGAATACTTCTGTTTAAAAACGAAACTGTATTTAATTGTTTTTGTTTCGGCAGAGTCCCAATATCTAAAACTCTAGATTTTCAATTTGATATAGTAATATCAAATTAATATAGCAAACCTAATTAATATAGTAACATGCATTACTACTGGCAATCCGGCCATGTGGTGGCTTCTTGTTACGGTGTAGCCATACCACTGTGTGATTACACTCGCTGTGTAATACACACCTACGTACGGTTGATGCATTACTACTGGCAATCCGGCCATGTGGTGGCTTCTTGTTACGGTGTAGCCATAC